GTGGGGGGTAGAGGTACGGGTTAGGGTTAGAAACGATTAAGAACCAGATCGGTTTACTTGGGCAAATGCGACGTTAATTATTCAGAAATGTGGCAGACGTATGATGAAGGAGATGCCTGTTATTAGGTTATTAGCCTTTTAAAAGCCGGATGTCCAAAGTCTCTGTCCTTTCTCAGATAAACCTGATCTGAATGCCCAGGTAGAGCAGGAAATTATATCTGTATACTTTGCCAAACTGTTGAACGCAAAACCAACCAAAAAGAAAACACGAATGGATAAAAAAAAAACCATAAATAAATAGATTTTAACAAACCGACTAGAGCAGTGTTTTTCAACCTTTTTTGACCCAAGGTACATTTTTTCATTGAAAAAATCACGAGGATCACCACCAACCAAAAATGTTAAACAAATCTGTATCTGCCTATAGTAACACTATAGTTATTCTTATTTTATTCTTATCTTATCTTAAGTGTCTTGAATAGGAATCAAATAAACACAAAAATGTATTTTTATCATACTTTATATTTCTTCTTTCAAATTGCACTTAACCTGTCCACTGCAGTATACAAAATTATATACAAAATCTAGTCATAAGGAATTATTACATGATTACTCCACCAGTCACTAGAACAGCACAGACACTCAGAAATGGCATATTATTTACAGATAATTAATTCATTATCAAAAACTCTTTTTAGACCAATTAGGTGAAATAGGATGATTTTCTACGGCACACTAGTGTACCGAGGACCAGGGGTTGAAAAACACTGGACTAGACGATCAAAATGATACAATAAACTCTCATTATTGTAAAAGGTTTTTTTCAGTAAAGTAACGTTAAAATGTAAGTATTTGATCTGGAGCCATAAGAAGAAGTCGTACCTGTGCGATTGCTCCAATGTCTTCCAGGCAAACATAAAGTCCAGTTGGACTTTTCTGTACCGCCTTATTTATACAACACTGTGTTCCCTTTATACAGGGCGGGGCCAAAAAATAACCTATTCAAAACTGCATGACCCCTGCTGCCATAAAGTTGTCACACCTTGGACAGTAAAAAAAAAACTTTCTGTACTGAGACATGATGAAGTCACCTCTCCTTTGAGAAATGATTAGATTTGAGTATTTGCTTTCAAAGGTTAAGAGAAAAAGGTGGGTCAGGTTATGACTGGATGGCCTACATGGCTAGATTCTTCAGAACAACAAGGACGTTACACAGTAATAACTCAATGTAATATATCATTCTTTTATTGGATTTCTAGACCAAGTCTCTAACTGTTCCTGACAACCCTAAAAACAGAATAGGTTCATCAAACTTCACAAGCTCTCTGTGTTTACTACCATAGTTTTCTGGTAACTGTCTGAAGGAAAACTTATTTTCAATACTTCCACGTTAGGCAAAATCTTTTTTTTTATGCCTCAAATGCCCCATTTTAAGTTTTACAGACTACTG